CTTGGCTCTTGGACAATGGTGGATTACCATCCGCATCGTGATCTCCCTTTTTTGGCGGACACAACCCGGTGACGTTCCATATAAAATGCTGCCAACCACTCATATTGGTAACAACTTTAGGTGGTGGCGTAGAGTCCACACAAATAACATCGCCATCGATGGGCAAATCGGTTAGGATGGCGATGTCCTTAACTGTGATGGTGCACTCGCCTTCACGAAAATTGAAGCAATGTGATGAGTTGGCGGTCGATCTTTATTCCATTAAAGTGCCTAATCGAATCCAATCTTGCCCGTTTTAGAAAGGGCAAGATGTGTCGTTCCATTCAAGCACATTTGTCGTACCCCTATAGCGGACTATAAGGTATGCATCCTAGAGAAGAATTTAACTTTCACTATAAGTTGATGATTTATACATATATAAATCTATTACAACAAACAATATTAATTATATCAAGGTTGTTTTAGAGAAATATACATTATCTAATAAACATTAATTTTAACATAACTAAAATCATTTTCGAAATTTAAGTACAATTATTTTTTGTACACATACATATAAAATCAAATATATTATTTTGTTAATCGTATTGATTGTTTTCAATAATTTAAAGCAATACAAGTACACTCGTAAGACTCTTAGAAGAGGTATACATTTTCTTAGAAACACAGCCTTTTTGATAGAAAAAGGGGAGATTCGAGGATTGCTTAGAACCCGATTTTCCTAGGTAATGGGAGGATCATGATGATCGCTTAAGACCCAATTTCCTTAGACATGCATTTCTTTATAAAGAGTCTAAATAAGTGTTGTATTGTATTAATTTAAATTATTGAAAATAATGAATACGATTAAAAATTAAGTAATTTATTGTACAAACAAATATAATACGTTAACAAAATAAAAATTACAAGTGATGATAAATAATATGTACCTTGTGGTCGTTGCAAACGTCTCTTGAACGATGATTGTCTTGATCGTATAAAATAGTCGGATCAATCGGTCCTTGATCAACATAATATCGTTGATTGTATATATCAACATCCGGCCCAACCTACGACAGCATAACAACAAAATAAATCAATTAGTATATAAATTAAATAAACCATTATAACAACAAAAAAAATTGGGTAAAATGAGTACGTACCGCTTGATAATCATCATAGTAAATACCCTCTTCTTGGATAAAATCGACCATTTTTCAGAATCCGGACAGAGATTCGATGGTTTTTTAGTGAAAATCAAAGAAAATTTTTTTTGAAGGCAAATCGGACTTAGCCGCAACCAACAAAACAACTACTTCCAAGGTTTTTGGGTGGGGAGGGGGATGGGTAGAGTGAGAAACTTAGGGAGAGAGAGAAGAATGGGGTTTGGTGTGCAGAAAATGGGAGGAAGGGGTGGGTTTATATAGGGACGAAACCGCGTGCTGGAGGGGCGGTTTGGTCTTTTTACCCCACGCAAAACCGCGCCTCCAGCACGCGGTTTACGTTCCCCAACGCGCAATCCGCGCTTCAGGGCAATGGTTTTCGTGAGCGACGTGGATCGCTGCGCAGGCAGGCGGTTAGGCCGTCAGATCGCTTGCCCATCGCGCGGTGGCATGGGCCGCCACGTGGAGGCGCGTTTTGACAGATACGAAGGGTAAAATCGCCCCTTGCCCGCGCAGTTTGACTGAGAACTGCGCCTTCGAGGCGCGGTTTATGGGGAATGGTGGTATTTTTGGAAATTCTTGAGATTGGGTGGTATTTTTATAATTTTTTTAAAATAATGGTACTTTTGGATTTTTTTCCCTTCCTCCTCTGTTCTGTTTCCTTTGTCTGGTTGGTCTTGCTAGGGATGTTCACGTCTACTGAATTCTACTTATGAATTCTATTTGTGAACTCTATTTTTATTTAATTTCTAATGCATTACCACCATTATACAAAAGATGGGGTGGAGGTCTTGGTTTCGGCGGTGTATGGTAGCCCGAATGCCTCCCGTCGGGAAGACCTTTAGAGGGAAGTTCGTCGGATCTCGAGTGGGGTTTCTAATCCCTGGGTCCTGGTGGGTGATTTCAACAGTATTATGGGTCCGTCTGACCGAATGGGAGGCGCAGGCTATCAGGAGGCACGAACCCGATCATTCAGGAAGTGTGTTACCGACTGTGGTTTGATGGAAATTGGGTTCACAGGGCCCCGATTCACTTGGCGACGAGGTAACTTATATCAGCGTTTGGACCGCGCCCTTTGCAACAAAGCCTGGTTCACCAAGTTCCACACTACATCCACCCGCCACTTGGAGCGGCTCGGCTCTGATCACCGCCCAATTTGGCTAAATGGCTCTCAAAAAGACAAGCGTAATGGCGACCGCCCTTTCAGATTTATGGCGGCCTGGATGGGACATGATAATTTCCAGGAAGTGCTTGATAATTCCTGGCGGGACAGTGGCTTTTTCCCGGTGGAACTGGGTCAACTCTCCTCGGTTTTGCAAGAATGGAATAAGGAGACGTTTGGGCACATTTTATACAGGAAACGGAAGCTGTGCAAGAAGCTGCGACAACTGGAAATGCGGAATGAGGAACAAGCCACCCCGACCTAGGTATGGGAGGAGGAAGAGACCCGAAAGCAACTTGAAGAGACGCTTTGGCAGGAGAATCTTCTCTGGTTGCAAAAATCGAGAGCTATTTGGATTGTGGACGGAGATAGGAATACGAAGTTCTTCCATCTTTCAACCTTGAAGCGCAGGAGATTCAACAAGGTTCTTGGGCTGCGCACAGCAGAAGGAACATGGGTCTTTGATGAAACAGAGTTACAGAAGATGGCTTGCGATTATTTTTGTCTCCTTTTCACAGCAGGTCCCGACGAGATGATTCGCCTGCCGGCGGATTTCGTGAAGATCAGCGGCCGAGAGGGAGACAGACTGGCGTGTCCGATCACTCAGGAAGAGGTTTGGCAGGCTCTTAAGAGCATGGGGGGGTTCAAAGCTCTGGGGAAAGATGGATTCCCACCTATCTTTTTCCAAAAGTGCTGGAACAAGGTTGCTCCCTCCTTTGTTCAATTTGTTTCAGGTTGCTTGGATGACCCGGCTCGTATCTCCTTGGTTAACTCGACTCTTCTTTGTTTAATCCCGAAGAAAGAGAGCCCGGAACTCATCACTCAATTCCGGCCCATAGGTTTGTGCAATGTAGTCTACAAGACTTTCACTAAAGTCCTCGTAAACCGGATCAAACCCTTTATGCGGAATCTTATCCATCCGACCCAAACGAGCTTTGTTCCGGGTAGACACATCACGGATAACATCATCATTCTGCATGAAGTTATTCATTCTATGGATCTCAAAAAAGGGAGGAAAGGTCAGATGGTGCTGAAGATCGATCTGGCTAAGGCATATGATCGCCTAAGCTGGAATTTTTTGAGAGAGACGCTGGAAGAAGTGGGATTGCATGTGAAGTTAATCGAGGGTATCATGCAGTGTGTAACTTCGTCGAGGATGCAAGTTTTGTGGAATGGAAATCTGACGGAGGAATTTGTACCTTCTCGTGGCCTGTGGCAGGGCTGTCCGCTTTCCCCCTACTTATTTACCTTATGCATGGAGCGTCTGAGTCATACCATTGAGCGCCAGGTTGAGAGAAAGAAGTGGAAGCCGATCCGGACATCTCCAGGTGGCCCTGATCTCTCCCATCTGTTTTTTGCTGACGACCTTATCCTTTTTGCAGAAGCAACAGAGAAGCAAGGATCGGTGGTAGCAGAGTGTTTGGACAAGTTTTGCCTCGCTTCGGGACAACAGGTCAGCAAGGAGAAATCGGTCATATTCTTCTCCAAGAACACCCCCCGGCAGATTGGAGCCACGATTGCTAGCGGCCTGGGGATGCCGATGACTCAGGATCTGGGACATTACCTGGGGGTCCCTGTGCTCCATGGTCGGGTAAACAAGATGACGTACAGATATATCCTAGACCGCCTAGAGAAGAAGCTGTCGAGGTGGAAAGCGAAGAACCTCAGTTTTGCAGGGCGAGTTACTCTGGCGGTCTCAGTGTTGAATGCGCTTCCAGCTTATGCGATGCAGACTACCCTGCTCCCCCTATCCATATGCGACTCCATTGACCGGAAAATTCGCGGTTTTATCGGGGGGAGTTCGGAAGGAGAGCGCAAGGTGCACGGTGTACTTGAAGCCAAGTCTTCGGTTCGTTACTCGAATTTGTGGAGAGGTGTGAAGAAAGCGTGGCCGATCATGTTGGCAGGCATGCACATGAATATCAGGGATGGGCGAACCACTTCGTTCTGGACGGATAGGTGGACTGACAGCGGGGACCTCTTAATCGATCTTGCAAAGGAAGAAGGGCCGGCAGTGGATCCTTCCCTACCTGTCGCGGCCTTTGTGGATCAAAATGGTGAGTGGGATCTTCCTCGGTTGCATTCTTTATTACCTGAAGAAGCTGTTTTGCAGATACTGGGGACCTCATGCAGGAGAGGATAGTATGAGTTGGGGCCCGGAGCAGGACGACCGTTTTCGAGTAAGGTCGGCTTATGACATTGCAAAGGGAGAGGTGGGCAGGTGGTGGACTTTCGATTGGCGCACGATATGGAAGTGGAGGGGCCCAGCCCGTGTCAACCATTTTCTCTGGTTGGCTGTCCGGAACAGACTGCTAACGAACCAGGAGCGGACGAGGCGACATATTGCGGACTCTCCCATGTGTGGCTACTGCAAGCATCATCCCGAAACAATCCTGCATGTGTTGCGGGATTGTTCCTTTTCCAGGTTAACTTGGTTGCGTCTCACTCAGCTTTCTGATCAACATAACTTCTTTGATAGTCATCTTCAGGATTGGATTCTTCGGAACATGGCGCGAGAGCATACTGGCCTTGATTTTGGTCTTATCTGTTGGTCCTTGTGGAGGGCCAGGAATGATCGGGTCTTTTCAGGCAAGACCGTCACCACTGAAGCTTTTCTACAGCGTATCCTGGCTTGGATAACTGTCGTGAGGCAGGCCATGGATAAAGACAGGCTTGTTCATATGCCGAGTCTGCCCATGAGAACGGAGGTTGAGATCTCGTGGAAGCCGCCACCTCCCGAGTGGGTTACTCTCAATTCAGACGGCTCTGTACTTCAAGACTCAGGTCATGCAGCAGCAGGTGGCCTGATAAGAGATCATACCGGATGCTGCGTTGCGGCATTCACTAGTAACTTGGGGATATGTTCAATCACCCGAGCAGAATTGAGAGGAGCTGTAGAAGAACTTCAGTTGGCCTGGGATCGAGGCTATCGTCGGGTCCGTGTCGAGCTGGATTCTAAGTGCGCCATTCAACTTCTTCACAGCCTGAGTAACGATCATCATCATGCTGCTATCACTGATCGATTCCAGGAGCTATGTTCACGGGACTGGGAGGTCTCGTGCTATCACATTTATAGAGAGGGCAACAAATGCGCCGATTATCTTGCTAGTAGAGGGCATTCCCTCCCTTTGGGTTTTCACACTGTTCCCATTTCCGACCCTAGTTTACTTCACTTTCTCATGTATGACTGTCAAGGCCTTTCCGAACCTCGTTGTGTTGTGAATGAAAGCTGAGATGCGTCGCATCCATTTATAAAAAAAAAATACAAAAGATGAGATCCACCGCAGACATTGCTGCAAAAACTTATTCCCTTAAATAAACATCCACTTCCCATTCCCATTCCCCAATGCCAACTCTCTGCCTCTCAGTAGTAATCGATGCATCTAATCCGATTCTTCCCCTTCCATTTCACCAAAGCCGATTTAAGTACATCAATCAAGCTCTCAAGCAATCTCAACAGGAACAAACCCTTTCTCAATCGACTCCTTGACAGCATTCAAAACCTGCTGCGTCTTCCTGCTCCTCGCCCCCCACTCCCGATCCACCTTCCCCGCCCCACCCACCTTAATCTCGCCAACCAGCCTCGCCATCTCCTCGATCAGCCGAACCTCCTGCGGCACACCATCGATCCCGGCAACCTCCTGCCTCGGCCCGGGCTCCCACCTCGTCACCTGGTCATCGAACCCCGCCCGCGAACTGGTACTGAAGCTCGCCTCGTGTTCTTGGAAGGGGATGATGAAGTCGTTGAGCTGCAGGGTCCCCTGGGTCCCGATCGCGGTGAGGAACATGGTCAGGTGGGTGAGGAAAGAGCAATGGAAGGTGGCTGATTTGCCGTCTTCCCAGTGGAGGGAGGCTCCGCACGCTAGGATCACGCCTCGGTCGCTCGTGACGGAGCCAGGTGTGGCGACGACGGTTTTGGGGAGGTGGTAGTCTGCTGCCCAGAGAATTGCCCTCACTCCGTACCAACCGGCGTCACCCAGTGCGCCCAGTGAGTCGAGGTCCGGTTTGACCCGGATGTCGTCTTTCAGGAAGGACTCGGGTGCTGCGAATGTAAAGCAGCTCTGTATCTGCATTAAACAGAGTATCAAAATACTAGTCAATTGTTACAGGGACTAATTTCTAGATGGTGTCCATAGTCACTTCTTTACAGTGATTGTGTGGAAGGGTAAGAATGCATCTTATAAGATTTGGCGCTTACACATTCACCCAATTCAAGTTAATTGACGGGTCTGAAATATTAATGACTAAGACACGCCAAAGTAGTGATTGCAATGGGGGCAAGAAGGGATGGAAGGGTACCTCAATACTTATGTTCTCAAGTGCAGTTCAGGACAAATAATATTTGTATGGACACGGGATGGATGGAGGCTGATTCATTTTTTTATTTTATTTGATAAGAATGTCGATATTTAACTCTTTCGGAAAAAAAAAACATAGAAAACACTTTATAAATAAATGACAAATATAGTAGAACGAATAATTGAATCTAAATAGTTGAAAAATATAGTTGAAAATATTTTCTTTGAGATGAAAATATGATTCTAGAAATGTTAAACGAGGAGAAATACTTATAGATATCTATGCAAATTACTATAGAACGAAATGAGAACAGGGTGGGACGGGGCGGAGCATGTCAGAAGCAATACTTTGCCCCATCTCACGTTACTGACAGTCAGGTACTATCCACCCCAAATAGGCCAGATCGCGCGATTCAGTTAATAAATTGCCATCTAGTCTGAAGAACATAGTGATTGATCGAACTGGTCACGTAGCTTTAGGGTAGTAACAAAATGATCACAAACATTTAAAACTTAAAACGTAACAAAAAGGTTACACATACTACAAAACAACTATTTCATATCTTTCCGTCCATATTTTTCCAAAGTGAAAAAATTGCTTGCTCTTGATAAGAGGTGGTTTTATAGGTTGGTTTGGTGGTAGGTAAATTGGTATTTTAATTTTGCTCCGTTTATGTGAACTAATTGGTTATTTTGGATGGACATATGACCAATGTAGTAAAAAATGAGTTTCTAAGTAGAAACGTTTTGGTGATCTAGAAACGTAACATCGTAAGTTTTTAAGTTTTAAAGCGGAGTTTTTAACTACATAAGTTGTAAAACCTAAGATTTTGTGTAGAAGCGTTTTAGTGATTTAGAAGCGTAAAATCGTAAATTTTTTAGTTTTAAAACTCGATTTTGACTACATTACATATGACTAAGAATATATGAAATGACCGTTTTTAATTAATTAGCAACACCAACGAATCAATAGGAATTAAAATCTAAAAAATATATTAAGGGGTTTCTCAAAAAACACTTCACATATTCGAATTTCTCCTCCCTTCACGCGTCCATGTCAGCAGCCTATTAGCCAATCATAAGAAGTTCACCAAAAAAAAAAAAAAATCAACCAACTCGGGGAACACTTCCTCCAGATTTATTCGGATTTGGTTTTCCTTTTTTCTCTTTTCTGTTTTCTTTTTTCTTTTTCCCTTTTTCAATTTCAATTCACTTTTACGTTTTTTTCATTTACATATTTTCTTCTTTAATAAACTATCTATATCCTTTAGATATAAGTTATATTTGTTACCATTTACAAATTTTGTCACCATATTATATATTTAAAGTATATATATATATATATATATATATTTTTCATCTATTTATAATAAGAAAATAAATAAAGTTATATTTCAAATGCACTATCAAGTTGTAGTGTATGTTGAAAAACATAAATAATTTGAGTATGTTCGGTGAGATTCAGTCCAAATATTCTAAACGTTAGCTACACGAAATTAGCCTAAATTTCGGATATTATGGAATGACACATTGTTAATATACTTATTTTCAGTGTTTCATGCACTGAGATTTCATAAACCACCACTTTAAAAATAATTTTTTTATGTGAAACTTTATTTCCACCTTATTCAAGATTGGTAAATAAACCATTATGAGTGTGATGATAAAAAAATTGAAATATTATAACATGATCCTGTTATACATTTAGCATGTTAATATATCTCAATTAAGGGTTGAATATTTTCACTTAGAAATAACTTATATCGTATCAATATTGTGGCTGTCACCGGAGCGACTAAGTTAGTTTTGTATATAAGAGTCAAATTCTCAAACCATACATTCAGATTATACACATAGAACTAATATTTTTTGAATAATATATGACAAATAATTTAAGTATGACAGTAGATTATTTAATATAAATGTAGCGTACACATGAGATTAACGAGATTTGAGAATATGAATAAAAATTTTCAAAATTAATTTTATATTCAGAGGAAACTCACCCGGCCAATGGCCGGGATCAAAGCTAGTCAGAAGATAATTTGATTTAGTAAGAAAAGGAAACCGAAACCGAAACGGCAGATTACCGTTCTGAGCTCCCCGAATCGCCGTTTGTCGTCCAAGAACTCCCGCATCTTGGCCGTCCGGGGATGGTGGACCCACATAGTCCCGTCCATGAACTGGACGCCGTTAGCCTCGCACGCCGCCAGAATCTGGTCAAGTTCTGCCACCGTCACGGCGACGGGCTTCTCGAGGAGAACGTGCTTCTTCTTCTGGGCCGCGAGGGTGGCCCATTTCAGATGGAGGGAGGTGGGTAACGGAAGATGTAAAATCTAGTGAATGCGGAAAGTAAAGAGACGACGATTTACGTGGTATCCCCGTCAATCGACGGGACTAATCCACGGTGAGCAGAGCTCGAGTAGGGTTTTCACTATGAGAGAACAGAATAGAAATCTGTCTCGTATGTGTTACAGAAACAGCCGCACAAGAGGCTTACTAATACCCTTCTATCGTGAGTAACCTAGGGTAATTAGGAGAGGCTATAAAATAACCAATAAGTACCCAAAACAAGTACTAATGACAAATACACGTCAACACGCCCCCTCAAGCTGAAGCATGCAGGTCACGAATGCCAAGCTTGGATAGTAGGAAATGAAACTGATCAGCGCCCAAGGCCTTGGTGAGAATATCAGCCAACTGAGAGGAAGAGCCAATCTTCAGAGGTTCGATTTCACCTGTGACCACGCGCTCACGCACAAAATGACAGTCCATCTCGACGTGTTTGGTACGTTCATGGAAGACGGGGTTCGCGGCAATGTGCAGGGCAGCCTGATTATCACAAAACAGCGGTGTGGAACTCGACTGAGGAACACCCAACTCAGTAAGAAGAAATCGTAGCCAAATGACCTCACTGACTGTGCTGGCCATGGCACGATACTCGGCTTCGGCTGAAGAGCGGGCAACGACATGTTGCTTCTTAGTACGCCAAGAAACCGGAGCAGAACCGAGCTGAATGTAGTACCCAGTAGTAGACCGGCGGGAAGACTGACAGCCTCCCCAATCTGCATCACAGTAAGCAGTGAGTTGGAGAGAACTGTCGGCGGGAAAGAACAGGCCCTGACCTGGTGCCGATTTGATGTACCGAAGGACCCGATGAGCAGCTGCAACATGTTCTGGTCCTGGAGAATGAACAAACTGACTCAAAACATTGACAGCATAGGCGATGTCGGGACGCGTTACTGTGAGGTACAGAAGGCGGCCGACCAAGCGACGATAAGATGAAACGTCAACCACAACATCGGCCGGAGCATCACTAGGGCGGGTGAGGGTGTGGTTCTGTTCCATAGGGAACCGGCTGGGACGAGAACCCATAGCACCTGCATCATGCAAAATATCTAGTGCATATTTGCGTTGAGAAAGCACAACGCCTTCCGGAGATCGAGCAACTTCAATACCCAAAAAGTACTTGAGAGGACCGAGGTCCTTAATGCTAAAACGAGCATCCAGAAAAGACTTGACCTGACTGATGAAGGCAGGATCATTACCGGTGAGAACAACATCATCAACATAAATGAGAGCTGCAATAAACCGAGTACCGCTACTGTGGATCAGGAGGGAGTGGTCTGCACGAGAAGGAACAAAACCAAGCTCACGGAGGGCAAGGGTGAACTTGTTATACCAATTGCGTGAAGCCTGACGAAGGCCATACAACGACTTACGTAACCGGAAAACTCGAGTATCACCCTGTTCAGCAAAGCCCATAGGAATCTTCATGTAGACTTCCTCCTCAAGATCACCATGCAAGAAAGCGTTGTTGACATCGAGCTGGTGGATCTGCCAACCACGAGCTACAGCAACAGCTATAAGAGTGCGAACAGTAACCAGCTTTGCCACCGGAGCAAAAGTATCATGGAAATCAACACCCTCAAGCTGAGTAAAGCCCTTGGCAACAAGACGAGCTTTGTAACGCTCCACAGAACCATCTGGATTATACTTGATCTTAAAGACCCACTTGGAATCTATAGCCTTCTTCCCCGGAGGCAATATTTCCAAAGTCCATGTACCGTTAGCCTCCAAAGCCAAAATCTCCTTGATCATAGCTTCCCGCCAACAGGCAAAGCGCACCGCAGAACGATAGGTTTTTGGTTCGGTGAGCTGAGAGATGGCAGCGAGGAATGCCTTATGCTGGGGAGAAAACCGATGATAGCTAACATGGTTAGAAATAGGGTAAGAACAAGTATGAGAGGAAGTACCAGGAAGATCCACATCATAGAGGTCAAGGTGCTGTGGGGGACGCCGAGCCCTATCCCCGCGACGGAGGGCCGGAGCGGCAGGAGGTGGGGCAGCGGGCGAGGTGTCTTCGGCAGTAAGGGACTCCTCGGTAGCAGGTGGTGCCGCGGCAGAGGGGACCTCGTCGGCAGGGGGGAGGATGCATGGGGCGAAGAGGCGAGCGAAGGGGTAGCATGCAAGGGGGATGCGTGAGAATCACCCATATCAAAGCTCTCACTCAAGGCTTCATCAGCAACCACATGCTCCGTAACCAAAGGGTCAAGTCTTTTCTGGATGCTCGTTAAGATCCAACATAACCTTCTCCCAACAACTCGAGTTATTGGGATCAACTGGTTCTTGACATGGTATCAGAGCCTAGAACCGAAAGGTCATGTGTTCGAATCTCCACGACCCCCAATATTAACCGTTGTCTTTCAAGCACATGGTATGGTGAGCCTGTGCAAATTTCAAGCCCGTGGGTTGGCTTTCGTTTGAGGGGGCGTGTTAGAGAGTGGTATAAGATCCAGCATAACCTTCTCCCAACAACTCGGGTTATTGGGATCAACTGGTTCTTGACATGGTATCAGAGCTGGTTGTCCGTGAGGTCACGTGTTCAAGTCCTCACGACCCCAAATATTAACCGTTGTCTTTCAAGCACATGGTATGGCGGGCCTGTGCAAACTTCAAGCCCATGAGTCGGCTTTCGTTTGAGGGGGCGTGTAAGGAAGTGGTTAAGCACCATACACGGGCCTGTATAAGATCCAGCATAACCTTCTCCCAACAACTCGAGTTATTGGGACCAACTGGTTTATGACAACTGTCAAGAACCAGTTGATCCCAATAACCCGAGTTGTTGGGAGAAGGTTATGCTGGATCTTATACCACTCTCTAACACGCCCCCTCAAACGAAAGCCAACCCACGGGCTTGAAATTTGCACAGGCTCACCATACCATGTGCTTGAAAGACAACGGTTAATATTGGGGGTCGTGGAGATTCGAACACATGACCTTTCGGTTCTAGGCTCTGATACCATGTCAAGAACCAGTTGATCCCAATAACTCGAGTTGTTGGGAGAAGGTTATGTTGGATCTTATACCATTCTCCAACACGCCCCCTCAAACGAAAGCCAACTCATGGGCTTGAAGTTTGCACAGGCCCACCATATCATGTGCTTGAAAGACAACGGTTAATATTGGGGGTCGTGGGGATTCGAACACATGACCTTTCGGTTCTAGGCTCTGATACCATGTTAGCGAACTAACCACTTGGTCCCAATAACTCGAGTTGTTGGGAAATGGATAGTTAAGCCTTTTAACCTCTTATACGCCCTCTCAAACGAAAGCCGATGCTGAATTGTGGATTTTTACGGTTTGCACAGGTTGAATCCTTGTGCTGCCAAACCACGAGGCTTTAGTTTGCACAGGTTGGACATACCATTCCTTGTGCTAAACGAATTGGCATGAAATGGGGGTCGTTATGAGGATTCAAACACATGACCTTTCGGTTCTAGGCTCTGATACCATGTCAAGAACCAGTTGATCCCAATAACTCGAGTTGTTGGGAGAAGGTTATGTTGGATCTTATACGGGCCTGTACACGAAAAGGAAACTGCGTCTCAACAAAGATGGACCAGAAGTAGAACGAGGCACCATATCCTCGCGAAAAGGAAACTGCGTCTCAACAAAGTGCACATCACGGGAAGTGTAAACCTGTCGAGTCGTGAGGTCATAAAGGCGATATCCCTTCTGCGAATGAGGATAACCCACAAAAACACTACGACGACCCCGCGCACCAAATTTATCCAGCGAGGGTCGAGTATCCTTGGCATATGCCAAACATCCAAAGGAACGAAGGTGATCATATGTGGGTAACCTGCCAAGGAGTATTTCGAAAGGGGTCTTATTGCCGAGCACCGAGGAAGGAAGCCGATTAATCAAGTACGTGGCTGTCAATACACAATCACCCCAAAATCGGACTGGTAAGCCAGCATGGAAACGGAGGGCACGAGCAGTGTCTAAAAGATGACGATGCTTTCGTTCGACGACCCCGTTCTGCTGCGGCGTATTAACACAGGAAGTCTGCAGTACTATCCCGTGATCAGCATAGTAACGACAAAGAGAATTGGTCTGGAACTCCAACCCATTGTCGGTCTGTATACGGCGAACCTGCCGTTGGAATTGAGTGACGACCATCTGACAAAACATGAGTAGGTATCGCTCAACATCTGACTTGTATTTGAGCAAATAAACCCAAGTAGCCCTGCTATAGTCATCAACCACTGTCAAGAAAAACCGTGAACCATCGAGTGCCGGAGTTTTATAACCTCCCCAGATATCCAAATGTATCAAATCAAAACACCCTTGAGTTGTAATGGAACTAGAAGAAAACACAGTGCGAGTCTGTTTGGCCCGCCAACAAGAATCACAATGAGGCTGAGGCGAAATAACAATCTTTGAACCCAAACCAGATCGTAAAACAGAAAGTTTGTCAAAAGAGGGATGCCCCAATCTTTGATGCCAAAGCTGATGCTCTTTGGTACCCGATGCTGCAAAAACTTCAGGCAGCCGCCGTGTGTCCAGAAAAGCCGGGTTCACCTTCTCGAAGTAATATAGGCCATCACGAAGGCTCCCCAGTCCAATCACAGTCTTGGAACGTGAGTCCTGGATCACACACATAGTACCGTGGAAAGTCAAGGTGATGGCATGATCCTGTGTAAGTCTACTCACTGACAGAAGATTGCATTGGAACTCAGGCACAAGAAGTACACGACGTAAGGTAATATGATCATTGAGAACCACTGTACCAATCCCTTCAACTGGAATGCTCTTACCATTCGGAATGCGAACAGACGAATAAACACCTGAACGATCTATGCTATCTAACCAGGCAACATCACGAACAATGTGTTCGTTGCAGCCCGAATCAAGAAGCCATTCACAGGGATGAGTAACATTACCAGCCATATGTGCAGTCGGGTCGGCAGGAGGCGAAGCCGCGGTTGAAGCGCCCAAAAATTGTTTCAGGTAGGCGAATTGAGCCCCGGTCAGCCCAGGAATCGGGCTCTCATCGCCGCTGACCTGCGACGCGCTAGCTGGAACCGAGCGAAGAGAAGGCTCGGCCTGCTGCTTCCCTTTCTTCCCTTTGCCTTGCGCAGATGGGTAGCCAATAAGCTTGAAACACATGTCCTTCGTGTGCCCTCTTTTACGGCAATGCTCACAACGAGGCTTATCATCCTCTTCTGCCTCCACCCGAGTTTGAAAAGCAGCCGAATCCACAACCGGACGTCGCGCAGAGGTAAGCTGCCGTTGATGTTCTTCCGCGGCAACCATTTGGTACGCCTCTGCCAAGGATGGTGTCGGCTTCAAACTCAGAATTTGTGTACGAACAACTGCAAAAGTGTCATCAAGGCCCAGGAGAAAGTCAAAAAGACGCTCAGTCTCTAACTTCTCCCTTGTTTGTTTCGCTATGTCACATGAGCAGCCATTACACGTACACTTGGGATTGATAGAAACAGCCTGGAGCTCATTCCACAAGGTACGCATGTTGGTGAAGAATGGGCTCACAGACTGCTTGTCCTGGCGAAGAGAGCTAATCGCGCAACGAAGCTCATAAGCGCGACCAGCTGAGCTAGTGCCGAAACGCTGCTGAAGGTCCGACCAAATTTCGCGGGCTGTTTTGGCACCGCGAACACTGTTACGTACTTCCTTGTTCATGGAAGTCTTGAGCCACCCCTTGACGGTGGCATCGCATCTATCCCAGGCGTCCAGGTACATGGCGCTGGCGCCGGCGGCTGATCGCGGCAGCGTACCATCAACAAAGGCACGCTTGTTCTTGGCAATGAGAGTCTCCATCATGTCGGCTGACCATTCACCATAATTGAGGTCAGTCAAAAGATCACTACCGAAGAGCTGACCTGGGTTCTCGGAAGGATGTAGGAACAGCGGAGAGGAAAGGGGGATCGAGGAGAGCACATCGACGCCGACGAGTGGTCCTTTGGTCGCGCTCGAGGAATCCTCCGTCTCCACCATTGTCAATCGATTATAAGCTGAATCGATTACTGCTCTGATACCATGTAAAATCTAGTGAATGCGGAAAGTAAAGAGACGACGATTTACGTGGTATCCCCGTCAATCGACGGGACTAATCCACGGTGAGCAGAGCTCGAGTAGGGTTTTCACTATGAGAGAACAGAATAGAAATCTGTCTCGTATGTGTTACAGAAACAGCCGCACAAGAGGCTTACTAATACCCTTCTATCGTGAGTAACCTAGGGTAATTAGGAGAGGCTATAAAATAACCAATAAGTACCCAAAACAAGTACTAATGACAAATACACGTCAACAGAAGATAGACGACGTCGATGTCTGGGTCGTCGAGGAGGGGCTCGTAGGAGCCGTAGATTTTGGCTTCGGCCGGTACGTTGTTGGCCTTGGCGAAAGCGCCGGCTTTCTCCGGACTCCGGCTAGCGACGGCCGCGATTTGGGCGTTGGGCGCCAGATTGATCGCTCGAGATACCTTACGGGCTATTTCAGCGCAGCCCACGATGCCGAACCGGATCGTAATTGGTTCCACCAACGACATGGCTTGGTTTTGGGTTTCGCCGGTGAGAGGATTGTGGTTAGGATTTTGAGCCGAGAGCTGATTTTTTTAAGTGTGGAACAAGAAGAAGAAAGAACGATGATTCGGAATTCTTACCTTATTTAGTGAGTAGTGTTCTCTTTTTGTAGATTTCGTATTGTTTTTTTTTTTTTGTCATTTTCGTTTCTGCTTACGGGGTGACTCAGACATCTAGAGATTGTGATAATCTGTACTCCATTTTTTAATGTCTTGTATTTTTCTGAAAATTCAAAATTCCCACTTGTCTCCATTATTGGAACAAATTATTTATCTTCAAAAAATTTATTCATTTGTAAGAGATAAACTTGAGCAGAGCAGTGAATACAATTGGACATATATTGGTGTTACCAACAAATTGCGTTTCTAGAATTGTTGTTTATTGCCATTGATTCTGTACAGTTAGGTTTAACTAACTGTTCTATGTTGTTCCGTCAAGCAGAGTTATGTGCTTATGTTACCATACATGGATACTTAACAATATATAGTGATCTTCTATAGCAGGAAACCAGGGTAAGAAAGGAAAACAGAAAGATAAAATTCTAACATAGTAGCAATCCATTTGGGTTTGTTGTATAGAATGTGGTTGTTATAACTCGTGTATTTAATTTCCATTATCAAGTAAAAATGACTCCACGAGATTATTATGGGATCGGTTAGCTTGCTAACCTTTCTATGGGTTGAAAAAATGACACCCCTATTAATTATAGTTATTTATGGTATTAAATTCGTGTTGCATTTAATAATCTTTAGGAATGAAAAACTCATATTACTTACATTCCTTTTTTTAACTATCATTGCACTGATACAACTATCATTGCACATGTACACTAAACTCATATTCATTAAATTCCTTTTTTTGAACCACCATTGCACTGATACAGTGCAGTCAAAATCGCGCATTAAAACGTAAAAACTTACATTTTACTTAGCCAGATCACCAAAACGTGTCAGTTTCTACCTAAAGTCGCTTAGTCACAAAAACCGGTAAAAACATGGGTAAAATCGCTTAAAATCGATAAAATCGCGATTCGGAAGTGTTTTTTTACGATTTTGATCATCTCATAAAAATGTGTTAATTGGCCCAAAATGATGTAATTTTGGAAACATATCAGCAAAAAATAAAAAAAGGAAAACATGATTCATCTCTCGTTCTACAACTAGTGTCGAGATAGGGGCTTCACATTAGGTTGAAAAGACACCTAATGGTATTCTCAACAGCCGCTGACCTTCTATCACTCTTCTCTTTTAATCTTCACCTGTGGCTCTTACCTGGGTTACGATAAAATTTTATTGGTAATTGATCTTATGTAATTATGTAAACTCAAACCAGCTTATGAGAATTTGGATTCTCAAGCTCGTTTACGGGTTACGATCTACATTTATGAGCTTATTATTAAGATGTGATGAGTTTTCTCTACTTTTGAGTCAACACAAATTAGTTTATGTGTTAGATATTAATTATGAATTTCATGTAGTTATTCACTTATCTAAAATCTACACACTCACATTTTACATACTATATGTTGTACTTAACATATTTTAGCTATTTTAGAGGGTACGTTAAAAACTTACGCTTTTACGCTTTGATTCTACGTTTTACGATTTTACCCATTTTCCGCTTCTAGGTAGAATCGCGCTTTTAACTGCGTTGCACTGATACAACTACCATTGCACATGTACACCGATACCATTGCACATGTACAACTATCATTGCACTGAAAAAAGAAAGTAATTAATATGAGTTTTTAATTCAGACAGATTATTAAATGCAACACAAATCAATTACCTTGAAAGCCTATAATTAATAGGGGGTGTCATTTTTCCAACCCTTTAAGGGTAGTCATGCTATATCACCCCGATTATTCTTGGTTAAATGGCTTACTAACACCATATTTGAACGAAATTCCGACACATATGGATGATTCAGTTAACAAATTAACTCCAACTCTAATTTTATCAAAACTACGTGCTTCTCGCCTCTCGGGTATGATTTGGGTCTTGGGGGCTTGAGTTCAAGTCCTTAAACTTCATTTTTTTAAGGAGAATCTTAAAGTCTTCCTATTGGCTGATAGTGGATAAGGTAGTTAATGGGGTTAGTAATAATAGATAGTTAAATAGGGTTATGCATATATAATTAATATATTTAATTAATGATTCTCTTTCTCTCTCCTCCCATGATTTTCTCCATAACCCTCTCTCTACATTATAATTAAAAAGAAATATGAAATTAATTTTATTTAATATTTAATAAAATCCGAATTCAATAATTTTCTTTTTCTAAAATGGAAATTTGAAATTTAAAATATATGTCTCTCTCACATCTTGGCAACTTCCGATTAGTATTAACATTTTGTAATCATTAGGGCTTTTCGTTGCATGGGTTTAAGATTTTTTGTTGTTAGGTATTCGTTTGTGTTATTATTAATTTTGTTCGACATATTTTTTAATAATTTTATATGACATTATTAACTTTTTATGTTATGTTTTGTTTGTAACATTAGCAAAAACGAAATTGTGTTTAAATTTTTTGGTACTTGAAGTTGATTTACTATTACATCGTATTATCAATTTGGTTCGCAATGATTTATAATCATTTGAAGTGCTATTATCAATGTTTTTTACCAAGCACAATACAATCATTAGCAAAAATTTATTTCATTTGTAACATTGCTTATGTTTAGTGTTTTGAATTATTAATATTATTTCGTTTATGTTTGTAACTTTGTCAAATGTCATTATCAAGAAGAATACTTGTTAGGTATTCGTTTGTTTATGACATTAGCAAAAGTGAATTTATGTTTAATGATATAACTATGGTTATTAATCTTTCAGTCTAAGTTAGTAACGTAGTTGGGGTCATTATTAATATGTGTATATAAGCATTATCAATGTTTGAAAAAATAAGATATTAATAATATCTAGTAAGGTACTTAACAATCATTAGTTGCTATCATTATCAAAGTTTTTGGATGCATTGCCATCATCCATTAAACACATGTTACTTATTAATGCGTTTTAGTGCTATTTGACATTAAACATTGCATCTGAATATTATTAATATTTCTTTTATTACAAAAATCTATTTCCTTATCAGTGACTTGATCATTCGTTATTAACGGTTTTTAATATATTTATTAAAAGCTTGATGTCATTTATATTGTTGAAGTCGGACATTTTTACATTGATGTTTTTGTGTTTATTTTCAACGAATACTTTTCGTTATCAATGGTTTATTGTATTGTTATTAAAATTTTGGTGTTGAAGCGTGAATGTTGGTTTGCTTGAGAAAATATTTTTCTCGACAATGTTTGTTTGACTGAATCAATAGGTGCACTATGTCACAAGTACCCAAGATGTTGAAAATCAGTATTTTGCTTTATGATCATTGAGAATGATAATGTAAAGCAATATTAATTGAATAAAACGTTAATAATGTTATTAGAAATCATTGGAAGAGGCTATGACTAGATAGTTATAATTTATAAACATGATGTGAAAACGTGAATCATTAGTACTAAGGATGTTGTAAATCAATGATATTGTTATTCAACTGTTAATGACCATGTTACATAACTTTAATGATTCATTCATAGGCGTTGATGACGAAACTATAAAACGGTAATAATTGATCCAAAATTGTTAATAATTATTTGACTGAATCAATAGGTGCACTATGTCACAAGTACCCAAGATGTTAAAAATCAGTATTGTGCTTTATGATCATTGAGAATGATAATGTAAAGCAATATTAATTGATCATAAAACGTTAATAATGTCATAAGAAATCATTGGAAGAGACTATGACTAGATAGTTATAATTTATAAACATGATGTGAAAATGTGAATCATTAGTACTAAAGATGTTGTAAATCAATGATATTGTTATTCAACTGTTAAAGACCATGTTACATAACTTTAATGATTCATTCATAGGCGTTGATGACGAAACTATAAAACGGTAACAATTGATCCAAAATTGTTAATAATGTTTGTTTGACTGAATCAATAGGTGCACTATGTCACAAGTACCCAAGATGTAGAAAATCAGTATTATGCTTTATGATCATTGAGAATGATAATGTAAAGCAATATTAATTCATCATAAAACGTTAATAATGTCATTAGAAATCATTGGAAGAGGCTATGACTAGATAGTTATAATTTATAAACATGATGTGAAAATGTGAATCATTAGTACTAAAGATGTTGTAAATCAATGATATTATTATTCAACTGTTAATGACCATGTTACATAACTTTAATGATTCATTCATAGGCGTTGATGACGAAACTATAAAACGGTAACATTTGATCCAAAATTGTTAATAATGTAATTGTAAGGAATTGATAATTATATTGAATTTTTTAATAATGATGAGGTATAATAAGAACGATTCATTTCATAAATGCTGATAATGTCATTGCAAAATGTTAATACTGCATTGCAAGTTGCCACGAAATGAGAGAGATCATATATTTTTAATTTTCAATTTTAAAGAATAAAAAAAATTAAGTTCGGATTTATTAAATATTAAATAATAAATTTTAGTTAAATTAATTTCGAATTTCCTTTTAATTGTAGTGGAGAGAGAGGGTTATGGAGAAAATCAAGGGGAGAGAGAAAGAGAATCATTAATGAGTAATATTAATTATATTTTCATAATATCTTATTTATTCCAACTAACTATTAACTACTAATCCCTCATTAACTACCCAATTTAGTATCATCCAATAAAAATGGTTTAAGAACCTCCTTAAACAATGAGGCTTAATGACTTGATCCAACCCGGTTTCAAAGTCCAAATTTTGGGACTATAATTCATATTTTAGTCCATCCAAAAGAATTTTGATATTAGTGGTAAATTCCAAAATTCCAGAATTTGACTTTAACTCTTAATCTCTTTTAGTGTGGATTTCATCATTCTAATTAGATAATTTGTTTTTTATTTTTATATATGTACTAATTAATTAAGATGAGTATTTCGATATTTTTTAATTCAAACATAAACAAATCATCATGAAATATGACGTTATAACAATACGAAAAAC